CATAATTATATACCTGTATTAATTACACTATAATATTCAACAAATTCACTTATTCTCTCAACAAATCTACATTCTTCCATCTATTTTGCAAAATTCTCTTTACTCAAATAAGATAGACAAATTAAAACATGCATCAATACACTTACTTATATCTATTCCTTCATGAATTTTAATAGTTATTCCATAATCTAATGAGCAAATTTACCTTATTTCTCAAGATATTATAATGTGTATGGAGTATGAATAACATTTGCCAATGTAGCAGATGCAAAATCAAGACAAAATATATGAATTTTTGTATTTATTGATTTTTGTATTAATTAGATGATCCATTAAATCATTTCATTATGAACATATGTTGGTATTACAGTATCTTTTATACTAGCTTTTTATAATATTGCTAAACAAAATCTTTAAGTAACAGAACCATTCTCTTATTCCTTCAATATTTTTATTATTTTCTCTATAATTATCATATTCCCATTATATGTTAAGTATTCCACACCTCTTAAAGTACTACTAATAACACTTATTAAACTTGTAATTGCATGTCTCAAACTCTAATTATTAATATCTAATAAATGAACAACAAAATCAAATTTCTCTGTTGCTTCAATATTGAATACATCATTTCTAATTAATTCATAAACTAAATTCTTTCTCAACTCTGGTGCTATCTATAATGCATTTACTCTTAGAGATAATAACACTTCAATCATTCCATCAACATGTTTATCTTGAAAGTTTTTAAATAGTTTTGTTTTATGTTCATGCATAACTTATTCAGTAATTAATTCAGTTCCTTCTGGTTTACCTTCATTGATTATCACTTTATGATACTTTCCTAATTAAATTTTATAATTCTCTAAAGTTTCACTTAAGTTCTCATTCTTGGCTGTTTCTTTGAGAGAATGTAATAATTAAAGTAGATTGATACTTACAGAGAAGATTTGTCTTCCAGCTTATAGGATTTATTAATATTTTTTATTGAAAGCTTTTTATTCCTTTTCCAAATTAATTTCTCTTTTAGTTTTTGTATTGTCACTCTTAAACAAATGAAATAATCTTGGAGCATCATCTCCTATTTATTTAGATTATTATTATTTATTAAGCATCTAAAAGTAAGAATTATGGAAATAAGTACTTTATTAGAAACTTATTTGCTCTTGATTTCAGCTTCAAAACATTCAAGAGTGTTTGAAAAAGATGAATATCTAAGATACTCTTTAATGTATTCATTGATTTCATTTTAATCAGGTTGAATAGAATTGGGCAAATTTGAATTTGCAGATTTCATTAATATAAAAATATCAATAAATACACAATTTCATAAGTTTACTAAATAATCCACTTAATTAATTTAAATAATTTTATATTCAAGATTTGTCTTTAGTTAATAATTAAATCTTATTATTTAAAGATACTTTAAATTCTATATTAGATTTCTAAGATTTATACATGTTATTTTACCTAATTTAATAATATATTTATAATCCTTAAATATTAACTTTTATTTAATATCCTCTCTTCAATATCTGTCTTAAAATTAATCATATTTTATGAATTTGAATAATTGTTAAAACTTATCTTTCCTAATTTATCTCATTCTTTTTTTATATTAAAATTTTGAGTATTATGAATGTAGACTTTATTATGAAATATCTAAATTTTTGTGTAAATTATATTTAATTTCTTTTCATCATCATTAGTATTAGATTAAACAATTTATTATAAATAATGCTCTCCTCTTAATGAACTAATCAAATTTATACTAATTCTTCCAAATCAGCAGTCAATTTTTTTTATTTTACGATTTATACATGTTGTTATGATCTAAACATATTGTTAAACTTAACCATTTCTTATACTTTATATCCAATCAAACTCTTCATTTCATTTTAGAATTATTTCATATATTCTTCTTGTTATAATATTCGTTTTATTNCTCTAATTATTAATATCTAATAAATGAACAACAAAATCAAATTTCTCTGTTGCTTCAATATTAAATACATCATTTCTAATTAATTCATAAACTAAATTCTTTCTCAACTCAGGTGCTATTTATAATGCATTTACTCTTAGAGATAATAACACTTCAATCATTCCATCTACATGTTTATCTTGAAAGTTTTTAAATAGTTTTGTTTTATGTTCATGCATAACTTATTCAGTAATTAATTCAGTTCCTTCTGGTTTACCTTCATTGATTATCACTTTATGATACTTTCCTAATTAAATTTTATAATTCTCTAAAGTTTCACTTAAGTTCTCATTCTTGGCTGTTTCTTTGAGAGAATGTAATAATTAAAGTAGATTGATACTTACAGAGAAGATTTGTCTTCCAGCTTATAGGATTTATTAATATTTTTTATTGAAAGCTTTTTATTCCTTTTCCAAATTAATTTCTCTTTTAGTTTTTGTATTGTCACTCTTAAACAAATGAAATAATCTTGGAGCATCATCTCCTATTTATTTAGATTATTATTATTTATTAAGCATCTAAAAGTAAGAATTATGGAAATAAGTACTTTATTAGAAACTTATTTGCTCTTGATTTCAGCTTCAAAACATTCAAGAGTGTTTGAAAAAGATGAATATCTAAGATACTCTTTAATGTATTCATTGATTTCATTTTAATCAGGTTGAATAGAATTGGGCAAATTTGAATTTGCAGATTTCATTAATATAAAAATATCAATAAATACACAATTTCATAAGTTTACTAAATAATCCACTTAATTAATTTAAATAATTTTATATTCAAGATTTGTCTTTAGTTAATAATTAAATCTTATTATTTAAAGATACTTTAAATTCTATATTAGATTTCTAAGATTTATACATGTTATTTTACCTAATTTAATAATATATTTATAATCCTTAAATATTAACTTTTATTTAATATCCTCTCTTCAATATCTGTCTTAAAATTAATCATATTTTATGAATTTGAATAATTGTTAAAACTTATCTTTCCTAATTTATCTCATTCTTTTTTTATATTAAAATTTTGAGTATTATGAATGTAGACTTTATTATGAAATATCTAAATTTTTGTGTAAATTATATTTAATTTCTTTTCATCATCATTAGTATTAGATTAAACAATTTATTATAAATAATGCTCTCCTCTTAATGAACTAATCAAATTTATACTAATTCTTCCAAATCAGCAGTCAATTTTTTTTATTTTACGATTTATACATGTTGTTATGATCTAAACATATTGTTAAACTTAACCATTTCTTATACTTTATATCCAATCAAACTCTTCATTTCATTTTAGAATTATTTCATATATTCTTCTTGTTATAATATTCGTTTTATTCTCTCTTTACATCATACTCAATAATTGCACTTATTTATCTATTTCTATTTCATTTATTCTTAATTAAGAGTATAGAAATCCATATCATATTGACATACCTCCAATATTTCCTTGAATTATATAAATTCCATATTACTTATTGTATCTGATCTGAAATTAGATTCAACAAAGTTATTGAGTAATAGTCCAAATAATATCCCTTAAAGAATATAGAGACATTATGAATTGAAGATTTGTTATTATTTAATCCTAATTAAGATTGTTTAAATATAGTGGACTAAATTATTCTGATTGGGGGAATTCAAAAGAAAATGGTTTAATGAGATGTTTAATTGAACTGTTATTTTATTGCATATTTATATTAATGTAAATGAATGTGTGTTAAGAATAAGCAAAGGAGCGGGAGTTGAAATTAAAATGAAGAATAAAAAGACAATCTCTTGAGGAAAGTTTATAAAAAATATTTTGCATATTATAATATATTAGTAATTAAGTTAATAGCACTTCTTTTGGATTCACAGTTTTAAATTATTTGAAATAATTCATAGACATACTTAATGGCTAGTGAGGAAGAAGTAAACATTGAGGATGAAATTATTGAGGAATCATAAGTAGAAGACAATCCAAAAAAGAAGAAGGACAAGAAAGATAAGAAAATAACTATGAAGCTAGACTAGAAAAAGCCAATTGATGGTAAATAACAATTTGGTGACAAATCTATATGTCGATTATGCAAAGTGACTACTCAATCCACTCCAACTATAATCTGTATAAGGTGTCACTTTAAATACCACAAGGAATGCATACGAACTTAAAACAAAGAGCCATAATTCCAGGAAGGTACTAAATGGTACTGTCTCTCATGTATAGAGAGAATGGCCAAGAGAAAATTGAAAGAGTCGGAACCATAGAAAAAGAAGAAAACTAGTCAAATCCCTGAATTCTTTTAGAAAACCTTATAACCACAAGAAGATAAATTGAAAAAACACACAGAATTTCAATAAAAATATCCAACCTATGTCTAATAAGGAAGAGTAATTTTTCCAATATTTGATGAATATCTGACAGCATATCAATAATTGTTTACCATAGAAATTAAAAAGAAGCCTATTCTCCAACTTGATCCAACAATTCCCCAGAACCTCTTTGAAGATATTCTTAAGATATGGGATAGTTATAATTATATGGATAAAATTGTTAGTGACATTCTCTATGCAGGAGAACAGTAAACTGAATGTATTACTATACATAATATAAAAAGAGTAAAGTTAAGTTAATAACATTGGTACATTGATTCATTTCAAAGACAATCACACACCTTATAGTTAAAAAACTCGCTTAGAGATATATAATATAATATAAACCAAACCTGAAGAATTGATCTTATTCTTCTGCTATTTCTATCTCAAATAAATAATTGAGGATTTAGATTAAGAATAAATGTAAAAATAATAATATGTATGTATAATTCATATCAAAATATTTCTAGAAAATCCCATATTGGCATTTACTTGGATACATGTGGTTTACAAATAGAATCCGATATTATGAATTATTAAGAGATGACATTAAATAATTGTCAACCAATATCTATAAATAAGGAATTCTACCTTTGACATAAGATATGATAGACTTTTCTGATTACACAGACATCAAGAAAGTGTGTAAATTACTTATAGCCCTATCAGATGGATTGACTGGTCTAAAGAAAACTCAATTTTTATATCAATTCAGAACTGAAAATCTCTTATCCAATAATAGAATCAAACAATAATTAGGCACACAGATCAAATAATAAAGAAGTCAATAAATTGACATTAAAAAAGAGATAATTGAAGCTGAAGGCAATATATCAATTGCAAAAGTATAATTTCTTATAATTTAATTTAGTCTCAATTAAAATAAGATGGGCTAACAAGAGTTGAATCATAAAAATTTACAAAATAAATGGAATAAGCTTAAAAATAGGCACAAAAATTAAAATAATAATATTCAAAATTAGAAAAAGAAATAGCATCTTTAACCGAAAGATATAATTAATAAGATAAAGTAATTATATATTAATATTATTATTAGGAATTGGCTATTACTTAAATGCCAGCTTTATTATTAAATCCATCTATGTGTTTAGGTTAGGATGCTAAACACAGTTCATATTACTTCTTTTTATATGAACCTGATAAAATATTTGTATGTATGAGACATTCAATTATTGATGATGATGGATCATAATAATGGGGATTTTATGATTAGACTGAAATCTAAAATCTACTCAATTCTTTATGTCCAAAAGGTGTTAGAGAAAACACTTTAAAAAATAATATTATTGAATTATAAAGAGCTAAATTGTTATAAATAAATGAGTAAAATTAAGAATAGAATAATGATTAAATAGAATAAGAGAATAATAAAAATGGTAAAAGTGTAGAAAATGATATTGAATAAGAGGTTCATAATTAAAGTGAGGAATAAATAGAAAGAATAAATAGTTTAATAAATTTAGATGTAGATGAACTTGTTAATGAATTTGTTGAAATTGAATCAAGTTTAACATAATATTTAAATTAAAAAAATTCAAGATGGTGTAGTACTGAATAAAGAATTGCATTTTTAAAGAGTTTTTAAAATGTTATTGAAAAAAAGAGTTCATAAGAATATGATGAAATAGATCTCAAACCTTTAGGGAAAGCTATTGAATATTTTGTAGATAATACAATGATGCAAGAGAAATTAGAACTTAGATTAGATGAAGATATAGATGAGAAATTATTAAATGAAAATGAAGATGATTCTTATTAATAACCTAATAGAAGAAGAAAAGTTGTTGAAGATGATTCATCTGTTGATGAATAACCTTAAACTATGTTACAATAATTAGAATAAATGGATATTGGAAAAGTAAGAGTAAGAAAATTACCAATGAAATTATTTGGTACTTATTATGAGACTTTACGATTGAATTTAATTGAACAACTCAAATTTGATTGTAATTTAGCAAAAATGAAAATTTGCTTAGAAGTATTAGGTCAAATTGTTAAGGATTATATTGACAGAAAAAAGATTTAAATTCAATAATAAATTATACCTGTTGGAGAAAAGAAAAAGGTGGAAGAAGTAGTTGTTGTTGTTAAAAAGAATGTTGAACCTCAACCTTAATTTGTTTAAGAAGCATAATTGTATGTTACTCAAAATTTGAGGAAAAGAAACTAAGTAAAACCTTAATATACTGAGACAGAAACTAAATGGGAGGACAGATGTAAGAAATGTAATAAAGGAGGAAAAGTTATTTGTTGTGATACTTGTCCAAAAGTATTTCATCCAAAATGTATAAATTTAAAGGAGGTTCCATAAGGGAAGTGGAACTGTCTTAATTGCTTAACAAATTTTGAGAGATAAATTAAAACAAGAGCTACTATTAGAAAGTTAGAAAACCAATGAGACAATGATCCATTGTTTTTATTATTAAATAATGATTTGTGATTTAGTTGATTATACTCTAAGAACAACTCCAAATAAAGGAAGGTTTTCATAGACCAACACAACAACATCCCCTAACAGTTCTAGCAATTCATCTTTCGAAGCTTCTTAACTTAAGATCCCACGACCTTTGTTAAGTTTTGATGAAAAATTTGAAGCTTCTCTTTGTGCTTTTGGTAATAGGTTTATAATCCATTTTAGAGTTTAAATTATTAGTCCCTGAAGAAGATGGCTTAATAAATTTTGAACAGTTCAGTTAAGAATTGATATAAGACAAACTTATATTCTTGAATGATGAAAAATATTTATAATAGTAATAGGCTTCATTAGAGATTTTAGAAGAGAATGTAACACATTTAATTAAAAAACTTAGATTCTTAAGGATGATAGAACCACTTTGATGCTCAAAAATATACCAAGAAACATGAAGCCAAATGACTTGAGAAATATTTTAAATAAAGAATTTCGTAATCTCTATGATTTTTTCTATTTACCTTTGGATAACAATGTATTTCTAATTTTATATTTGAAGAATGAAGGTCATTTGGGATATGCTTTTGTTAATTTTATCAATCAAGA